ACATTTGGGGGGGAATTATTGAAAGTAGGTTGCATACATCCTGACTGTTCAGCTGCATCTCCCACAAATAGGATATTTTCCTATGTAACCTCAATACCATTGTCACACTTTAAGAAAATGAACATGAATTGCACAAAATCTGATATCCAGTCCCTATTCAGATTCCCCCTGCAGGACTCTGGGAAGCGTCAGTGATGGGGGAGGTACTTTGGGTTCGCAGATTCATAGGCTCCTAGAGCATCAGACTCCCCTCTGTACGGAAGACTGAAAGCCACAAGGTGTCAGTGGCTCACCTGAGGCACAGAGCTGGGACCCAGTGTTCCTGCCCATCCTTCCAGGCTTGTTTTCACGGTGCCTCATGGCCTCTAGGCTGCCCAACACCCGTCCCCTCTGTGGCCTGGCTTTCCCGTAGTGGTCTCCCTGCGCCAGATCCAGCGCAAAGCCACCCGGGAAAAGGAGCGGAACCAGGAGCTGCGGCGCCTGCAGGATGAGGCCCGAAAGGAGGAGGGACAGCGGCTGACCCAGCGCCTGAAGGAGCTGGAGAGAGACAAGAACCTCATGCTGGTAGGAGGCCGAGGAGGGGCTCTTCTCAGGGAGCAGAGCTGTGGAAAGGGGAGGGGACTCTGCCCGGGCTTGGTGGCGTTTAACCCTCTCCTTCCCAGGCCACCTTGCAGCAAGAGGGTCTCCTCTCCCGTTACAAGCAGCAGCGACTGTTGGCAGTTCTTCCTTCCCCGTCGGATAAGGGGTTACCTGTGGAGTCCAGCCTCAGGCCCTCAGAGTCTTCAGCGCCTGCACCTCCAGCGGCGGCCCTATGCACCAAGGAGTCCATCAAAGGTAAGGGACAGATGGCGGGGGACTTCAGGCATCTCTCCTCCAGGCACTCTGCAATGCATGAGCCTTGTTCTCTGTGACCCCTGGAGGCCCACAGCCTCTCTTGTTCACGCCCGCCTTGGACCAGGAGCCTTCTCCCTCATAACCCTAACATCCTGCGGCGTGACTGTGACAGCCTTCTCTTGTCCACCTCCTGTCCCTTGGGGTCTTCTTTCCCAGGATCCCTTTCTGTCCTGCTCGATGACTTGCAGGGCCTGAGTGAGGCCATTTCCAAAGAGGAAGCTATTTGTGAAGGAGACATCCAGACCTCTTCTTCTGTCTGCCTCTGAGCAGCTGCGAGGACCGAAGGGATGAGGATGGAGGAGGAGTGGGTTGGGGAGGGCGTCCAGCCCAGCTCCCTTCCCATCCAGCTGCCCTCGGGGACAGCCGCCAAGATGTTGTGAATTCTCCCGTGGCTCAATAAAGATGACTGCAGTAGGAGCCATTGTTTGGACAGTTCTCTCTGGGAATATAAGGAAATTTTCTCCCTGCAGCCTCTCTTGTCCGAGAAATGTGAGAAGTGGTCCCCCACACAGCTCTTTCTCTAGACGATTCCGTTTTCGAAACCCCTTTCCTAGGCTGCCCAGGAAGTTTTTGGAGAAGCTCCAGGTTTCTTTTTATTCTCAACTTTTGTTTTAAAACTACCTCTGGAAGGTGATCAGTGCCAGGAATGAAGCAGATAAAACATTCACATGTTCGACAGGAATCACAGATCCAGGCAGCATCCTGCCCCGGGGGCCACTGTGGTGGGCTTGACGGGCGGGTCCCTGCTCCCGTGGCACTTACAGTCCGGTGGGAGAGACAGAGGATGGGCAAGTACTTACATGAACAAATGAGCCGTTTCAAACAATAATAAGTGCTATGAATATGAAGAGAAGAAAGAAATGACAGTGATGTGGTAGAAACTGGCTGTGTGGGGAGGGGCGGCATTAGATGGGGGGGACAGGCAAGGCCTCTCTCCGGAGGGATGTGGTGCTGAGGCCGGGGTGAGGTGAGGCGCAGGCTGTGCAGCCCCCTGGGAGGAGCATGAGGGCGGCCACAGGCTGGGCAGGCGGGAGGCTGGAGGGAGCCCGAGGGAGGATGCTGCAGGGAGAGGCCAGGCCTGGTGGAGCTTGGATTTTACTCTAGAAAGTCCTTAGAGTACTTTTAAAACTGGGGACAGACACAAGATTTGACTTACATTTATTTTTTTTTTTTTTTGCCGTACGCGGGCCTCTCACCACTGGGGCCCCTCCCACTGCGGAGCACAGGCTCTGGACGCGCAGGCTCAGCGGCCCTGGCTCACGGGCCCAGCCTCTCCGCGGCATGTGGGATCTTCCCGGACCGGGGCACGAACCCGTGTCCCCTGCATCGGCAGGCGGACTCTCAACCACTGCGCCATCAGGGAAGCCCTTGACTTACATTTTTAAGAGATCTGTTGGCTGGCTGTGGAGGATGGGTTTGGGGTGTGGCCACGGGGTGAGGAGAGACAGGAATGAAGTCCTCAAAAGTGAGCCACGAGGGACAGTGGTGTCCCTTACTGCGGGGGAGCAGACCCAGTGGGGGACAACCCGGGGAGGAAGTGAGTTTGGACACGTTACTTCTGAGAGGCTCATGAGACGTCCAGGCAGAGGAGTCCTTGCTGAGGAAAAGTTCTAGGGGGATCTCTGAACGACTCAGACCAGACAGACTGACAACTGAAGGAGGAGGGGAGAGAAGGGGTGGGCACAGAGTTCACACGGAGGACACGGAGAGGGGCTCAAGGGGCAGTGAGGAGGATTCCAGAGGGAGGAGAAAGAGGCTGAGATGCCAGGGGGAGCTGAGGCAACTTCTTCCTGAGCCTCTGGGTGTGACTGATGGAAGCAGCCCTGGGGTCGGAGAAGGAATCAGGATGTCCTCATACTGTCTCCTTCACCTGCAGTCACCCCAGGTGGCTCCTGGATGAAATTCTCAGATGTCACTGCTTGGGAGGCCCCCTTCACGCCTGGAGAAGGCATATGCTGGGAAGTGGAAGTTCCAGGAAGGGCTGAGCCCCAAGGAGAGGGTTCACACTGGGATGGGTGGGGGAGGCTTGGTGTACTAGCTGAGACCGTTCTAGCTGTGTCCCAGCTGTTCAAGGGAACACCCCCTGTCCTCCCCCCAGTTGCCCACCCCCTGCCCGGCATCCTGCCTCCCAGCCCCTGTAATTACACTGCTTCCCCACGCGTGGTTTGCTCCCATTCCTTGGCTTCCAATGACCTTGAGGGACTAGAGGTAGAAGTCCCTGTTATTAGGGGTTGCTGCAGGGTGTGTATGAAGGAGGACATGAAAACAATGGTGGGGTGACCAAGGTCTGGGTCATCCATAAAGCCTGGGTGGCTGGGTCCTGAGCTGGGGGACTAAAGTGAGGGACACCACCAGAGGTTACACATTAGCCACGGCCTTCCAGATGGGTTTGACCAGTTAGGTTTGGATGTGATTCCTTGTGTGACTGGGCCGGTCCCTCCCCAGAGATTGGCCTCCTCTTCCCCCTCCTCCCCTGTAAAGCCTCTTGGGGTCCCCAAGCACCCAGACTCAGCCGACCCCTGACTTTGGGGCCAGGAGACAGGCAAGATGCTCAACTGGAAGCTCCTGGGGATCCTGGTCCTTTGCCTGTTTTGCCGGAGGTGAGCTGGGAATAGAGGCCCGGAGTGTGATTTGGGGTGATGGGGGACGGTAAAGATGAGGCAAGGGTGAGCTGGGTGCATAGGGATAGGGAGATCCTGGGAATTCACATGACGGGAAGAGTTAAGGCGATGGAGGTGATGCGGGAAGGTGCATTTTAGCGCAGAATAAATGTTTTGCTGGTTTGGGTGTAGCAGCATGTGGCGATTTAGGTCAGCATTCAGGTGTGGGGCGAGTGTTCATCAGAGCTGAGGTCCGTGTTAAGGGCGTGGAGGTCATCTTAGAGATGGGGTCTGGGTGCCACGTGGTGCCAGGGTGTAGACAGCTTTGGGACTGCAGACACATATAGCGGCCCTGCCAGTGGGGTGTCCCAACCAGGGTTGGATGGAGCTTATGTGGGGGGAGCAGGGGATCCTGTCAGTTTAAAGTTGGTCCAGTCAGTAGTTCAGGACGGCGTTTCCTGTCATTTTAAGATCACTTTGGTATTTTGTGAATGTGTGAGAGTTACTTTTGAGTTTTGTTTGTGGGATCAGCTCAGGCTGTGGTCCATCGCAGAGAGGTGATGCTCCCTGGGTCTGTAGCTACGGGGAGAGGGGGGATCCTCACAACCTCTTATCTTTCTCCTTCCTCCTCTACAGGCATCTCAGGCAGCGGAGACCATCCATCTCCCTCATCCACAGAGCCCTCAGAGGAGGAGGGCCCCCCAACATTGCCTCAGGGCCCCCCAATTCCTGGTGACCCCTGGCCAGGGGTACCCCCTCTCTTTGAGGACCTTCCACCTCCAGGCCCCAGCCGTCCCTGGAGAGACCTGCCTGAATCTGGAGTCTGGCCTCCTGTACCCCCTAGAACTGATCCCCCTCAACCTCCCCGGCCTGATGACCCCCGGCCAGCAGGACTCCAGCCTCCAGAAAACCCCTGGCCCACCTGCCTCTAAGGTGGGCCACGGATCTCAGGAGGAGCCAGATCTTGACCCACCCCAGGAGGAGTACAGACAATGGATCCCCCAGAGGCATCCTGGGCCTCTGCCCTCAAGCCCATCTCTACCCTTCTGATTTCCCTTGAATTCTCCCCAATTTAGCCTAACTCCTTAATTCCTTTCCTCATTCCTTCTGTTTTATTCTGAACCCGGAAGGTGTTGTTCTCAATATTTTCTGTCCCCTCTTGAGATCGCTTTTAGCTCCCTCCTCCCCCTTCTTTTTCCTCTGACAGCCAAAGTGAACACCCCTACCTCACCTGCAGTCCTCTCCCCTCCCACCGCCTCTTCCCCACCCCGGGGACTCTCCGGGCAGGGCTGGCAGCACTGTGTTCTCTGCTGCTACCTGGTGGCCGCCAGCTGGGAACTACCAGGACACCATGGTGCTTCCATGAAATGGGAAAACAAAAAACCGTGTTTTCTAATTTTGACTCTAGGCTGCGTCTTTGCCAATGAGCAGGACTTTGAACATTCAGATGCCCTCATAACAGCCATGGACCTACAGAGATCTGGAAGTCATCTGAGTTCCTGTCTTGCCCATATGCATGGGGATGTGGAACTCAGCCAGTGGAGGGTTGGAAATGCAACTCTCAGAGTTACAAGGACATTCAGACCCACATTTCTCCCATTCTGGGATCCCTATTTTGGAGAACGAGAAACCAAGTTAAGTCTCTCTTTAATAGCTTATGGTTTGCATACCTCTGGCTGAACATGAAAACTCTCCCAGGGGGATGTGGGCAGGACTAAGTTGTAAGGGGATCAATTTCCAGAAGCATATGTGTCCCTTCCTAAAATGAATCTGCCTGAGAACTGTGTTCTCCTTTTCCACATGCCTCCATTAACAAGTGACCCTTCTCTCACTAGACAGAGGAAGGCCGAGCTCTCTCGCCCACCCTGAACTGAACCTGGGTGCTCTTCCTGGAGCTACCAAATGAAGTCAATGGAAAATAAAAATCAGCCCTTTCCATCTCATGAAGAGATGAATTTTTAGTAGAAGTGTACTTTTCTGTTTAATCATTGTCAATATTTGTAGTTTTGATCAATTGCATCTTTTAATAATTGTAATTATAAACCCAGGGCAGAGTAATGGTTTTTAAAATAGTCTTATGGTCACAGGAAATAAATTCCAATTTATTGATATGTACATATTTTCGTTATAGAGATATACAATAAAAGACTTTCCAAAAAGACACTAAAATACAAAAAAGGTGATACAATGCAAACAATATTTCATTAGGAACAAACTCTATAGGGAAAATGAAATGGAAAAAGGAACCAAAAAGAAAAATAAATGAGGTAAATTTGCTGACTGGCTAATGGACTTGTTCACTTATTAAAAGGGTGTTAATGAACATGAAAGGGCTATGGTGTTATATTCCATCCGCTACATTTAAAAGAGTGATGTGACTTTCTAAATATATAAGTATTTACAATTTCCCAGAAAGTGTACCCTTTGCAGTGTTTAAACTGAAGATTAAAAATGTTAGTTGTTGACTTTAAAATGTGTAAGGGGTACATAGTTTCCCCAGATTCTTTAAGGGTGTATTTGAGCAGGAAAGTTGGAAGGGCAGGAGCCCAGAGATCCCAATGGCCCGATGTCAATCAAGTGGCTGGCCCGGGTGGGGTTGAAGAGGGCCTAAAAGAAATGACGGTTCCCTGACCTTAAAATCCACTGCTTTAGGACCCAGTTTGCTTACATGGTAACTCCCATCAAAAGCTATATGTGACCGGTTTGAAAAAAAAAAAACGAAATAAAACAAACAAAAAGCCCCCTAAGTTTAGAGTTTGGAAATAATCTTAGAACAGGTGCGAATTGTAGGTGTGAGCCTGTAATTTAATAGGCCTCAAAGTGGACTAGATTCACTCATTCATTCGATCATTATCTCATACCCTCAATATGTCCTGCAATGTCAGGTGCCACGGGGGAATATAACGGATAAAAATATACAGTTCCCATTCTCAGGAAGCCTAAAATTAGGCCGGGGGAGCCCTTCCTGGTCCCACTTCCCCACTCCCTTTCCCTCCTCCCCACCCTTATAACTTTTTAATAAATCCCTTTTACTTAAATTTTTGTCTCAGGATCTGCTTCTGGAACATCCAACCTAAGACACAACAAACAGTTTGCTATAAACCCTTGCAGCTGCTTTTTACTGCGCATGTGCAATAGGGGTACTGTTGCCCAAGGCATAGAGATTAAGCTCTCACTTAATTTGCACAATAACCCTATTGTTATCACCATTTCTCAGAGGAGAGAAACAAAGGCCTGGAGAGGTACAGTGACTCATGCAAGGTCATACGGAGAAAAATGGCAAAACTGGGATCTGAACTGAGGCCTGTCCTGATTTTAATTACATTATCCCATCTCTTTATTCATCTGTGTAAATCTGACACGGAATACAGTGCCTGGGCCTTCATGGACACTGAATATGTTGTATTGGGGTTCTCCACACAAACAAAACCAATAGAATATACGTGGAGATTTATTACACGAATTGGCTGAGAATGTCCACGATCTGCCGTCTGCAAACTGGAGAATCAGGAAAACCTGTGGAGCAATTTAATCGCAGTCCGAAGGCCTGAGAACCATGGGAGCTGATGGTTTTAAGTCCCAGTATGAGTGCAAAGGCCCAAGAATCAGAGGGCTGATGGGGTAAATCCCAGTCTGAGTCCAAAGACCAAGAGCCAGGAGTGCCAATGTCCAAGGGCAGGAGAAGATGGGTGTCCCAGCTCAAACAGAGAGCAGATTTGCCCTTCCTCCACCTTTTTGTTCCGTTCAGCCCTCACAGATTGGATGGTGCCCACCCACATTGGTGAGGGCGATCTTAACACTGTCTACCGATTCAAATGCTAATCTCTTCCAGAAACACCCTCACAGGCACACCTGAATGTAAGGTTTCACCAGGTCTCTGGGCATTCTTTAGCCCAGTCAAATTGACACATAAAATTAACCGTCACATACATGTTCTATGAATGGCTGAATTCATTAATGAATGGTGAGTTTGGGCAACAGAGAGTAGATCAAAATGTTTAGAGTGAAGGAGATATCTATATATCTATATAAATATATATAAATGTATAAGTATATAAATATGTACATTTTGGGCCTCATCATGATGCTTGTTGGATCTCAGTTCCTCAACCAGGGATTGAACCCAGGCTGTGGCAGTGAAAACCCGGAATCCTAACCACTAGGCCATCAGGGAACTCCCGGAGTGAAGAGTTTATAGCTTGGAGAAGAAAGAAATGTCGTGGAACAAGTAGGTTGGGGGGAATTAGAGAAGGTCTTGGTGCCTGGCTCAGGAGCTCATATCTGAAAGTCTTTGTCCTTGGATAGAACTGTGTTCTTTGTGGGGAGGCATACATAACCTGTCTGGTGTACTGTGGCAGGGAGGTATGGGATAGAAGGGAAGAAGGAAGTCTGGATTCCTCAAACTGGCCCTGCCTCAGCAACTTCTCAAGCCAGTGCAATGGAGTTTGTTGGGAATGGAAAGAGAAAAACATTCTTAAAGGAGAGAGAAAGTGAGGGAAAGAACTGAGTCCCTGATGTAACCCAGGAAAGGATCGCAGGCTCTTTGCATCATTTCCACATTATATTGGTTTCCATGTCTTTCTCCCTTTGTAAAGTATGAGCTTCTTGAGGCAGGGATTGTGCCTTGTCTGTCTTTGTACGCCTTAATTCCCTCCTAGTACTTGGCCCACAAGGTGTTCAATAAAGCAAATTATTAACCCCATTTTACAGATGAGGAAACTACTGTTGACAGAGGTTAACTCACCTTCCAAGACAACACAAGTGCCAAAGTCAAAGCTGGATGTAAGTTCCAAACCAACTCTTCCAAGTTTGACACAACAGGTAGGTGAGTGGGAGAGGGAAGGGAAAGCAAGAAGTAATTGGAGGGCTTCCCTGGTGGCGCAGTGGTTGAGAGTCCGCCTGCCGATGCAGGGGACACGGGTTCGTGCGCCGGTCCGGGAAGATCCCACATGCCGCGGAGCGGCTGGGCCCGTGGGCCATGGCCGCTGAGCCTGCGCGTCCGGAGCCTGTGCTCCGCAATGGGAGAGGCCACAACAGTGAGAGGCCCGCGTACCGCAAAAAAAAAAAAAAAAAGTAGTTGGAGATTTTAATACCAATTAATAGGCAACAGATATTGGTACCTAAAAATGCTGTGTTTATTAGCTGGGAAGAGGCTGAGTGGGACTGGATGGTATGGAATATTAACACAGGGGATCCCACTGTGCCAGCTTATCCATTTAGATTAGATGATGCTGATTCTTCCCCATCTGCCTTGACTGACCTCACCTACGAGTGACTGCGGTGGGGACACTATTGCATTTTATGTCAACATGGAGTCATACAATTAAATAATAGAATAGGATCTCTAATAGATTTAGAGAATAATGGCTCAGTACCTTGGACATGGCCGGTAGTCAATAAATGCTTAGCCAATAAGAGAAAAGAACCTTGAACTGGTATCTTGGTATAATCTAATTATAGAAGCTGAGTTACCTTGAGAAAGCGTTGGGCACAGCCCTCAGCCTTTGGGCAGACGAATAATGTCTTTGGACTAGACAGAAGAGTTGGTTATCTGCTCTCCTTTGAAGATCTCTAGGCAGGGAAACTCCAAACGACTCATTTGTTTATCTATTTACCCATATAATGGTCATTTATTGAGCATCTACTGTGTGGGGTGCTAGGTGATGGTGACAATCTCAGGGAGAAGTTTCAGTCCTCCCTGCCCTCGAGGAGCTCTGTGTCTAGAGAGGAAACAAATATGTATTAATAAATCATGACAATAAAATGTAATAAAAGTTAAATTAGGGAGGGGCACACCCGTGCTAACTCCTCTGCCAATTTCATGTTTCAAACTCATCTGACCAAAGACTTGTTTTGGTATAAACTTAAGCTCTCTTACTGTACGTTTTCTCCCTCTAATCTTTAACTAACTGCCCACCAGGTGTCTAGCACTGGCTCAAATAACTTGTCGAATTAAACCAAACCTCTCTCCGAAGGTTTTTCCAGCTGATACCCTTCTCTTTTGCAGCATAATCTCAACTGTGATGGGGACAGACAGGATGGTGTAGTAGTGAAAGCATCGGATTGTGACCCAATTCGTTGTTCCTACTCTGCCATCTGATCTCTGCGTGGCCCTGGGATGTGAATTTAGGGGATTTCCTTAATAATCTCTAAATTCCCACGCAAGGTTGACAGCCTCAGTTCTTCGTCTGTGATGTTCCACGACATACCACCAGAGGGCAGCATAGAGACTCCTCCAAGGCGTTTCCCTCCAGAGTCCTCCTTGTCGTGCCGCTAACATCATCACTCGCCCGGCCTCCATCAGGTCCCACTAATGCCCTCTTAGTCGCCAAGGTGACTTCTCTAAGGTGAGTCAGGCACATGAGGTGAAATGAGGCAGGCGCTGGGGCCCTCAGGAAAATTCAGGCCAGGCTGCTTGCCCAAGTGGTCCATTCATTATCTATTCTTTCTCTCATTATTAACTGAGTTCCCTCCATGAGCCACGCAGCACTAAAGGGAAACAGCGGTGAGTCAGAAAGGAGGGCCCCACCCTCCCGAGGCTTACCTTCTAGTGGGGGAAGTGAACAACAAGCAGATGCATACAGGTTGTATGTAATAGGCTATCACGTCCTGATAAGAGCTATGAAGAAAAAGAAGGCAAGAGGAAGGACATAGCAAATGATATGGTCCGTGAGTGTGGGGCTGGAGGGCTACAATTTTAAATAGGAAAGTCAGAGTGGGCTTCTGAGAAGATGGCAGGTCACAAGGACTGAATGAAATGAGAGACTGAGCCAGGTCATGCAACGATCCAGGGAGAAGAGGAAAAGCTAGCTATGTGTAGCCTACAGCATCAGGATGCCAGGTAAAGCCCCCAGCTACTGGTAGCGGGCATCATCTTAACGCCCGGAACTTGTGTCTGCAGCTCCAAAGGATAAATAATAATTTCTGTCTCCTAGGAGCATAGAGAGAATCAAGATAAATCCTGCACGTGCAGATGTTTATGACGAGCTGATTGTTACACTGTCGAGGAGGAGTCTGTCCTTCTCTGGTTCTAGTCCTGGGGCCCCAGAGAACAGAGCTGGACATGGGACGCCCGCCTCTCCAGTAGGATTCTGTGTTGACTGGTGTGTTACCTGTGTGTGGGGGTCATGCATCAGGCACCAGGGGCACACTGTGGGGTGAGAGAAGCTCCCTGCCCACGAGGAGCTCTCAGCCAGAGGGATTCGGACAGTCCGGGAGAAGGAGAGAGGATGGGCCCCTGCAGATCCCACCCCCGGAAACAGTGAGGGCCACAGCCTGCCTAGAAGTCCCTCCTGGGACAAGTCCTTCCAGCCTCTCCTAAGCACATTCAGACTCTGCCTCAGTCCCCGTTTTCACCCTTTCCTGCCGGATCAGGAGGGAGCTGGGTCTCTAATTCTGGGTGACCAAAAACAATAAAATGCATGAATAGCAACAGCGGAAAGAATGACTATTTAATAGCTGAGTGTAACGAGCAGACAAGGGGTGCTGGTTTCCCTAACACTCGCTCCACAGAACAGAGAAGAGGAAAAATATTATTGTTACTCTGAGAGCTAATCACAGCCTTATATTCACCTCCTCACAAGACAGGAGGGCTGGTGGCCACATCAGAGGTGGCTTGAGCAGAGCTATGAAGTCTCGGACTCTAGGAGCATGACCGTCACTCAGCTGACTCCCGGCTGCTTGCAGGAAGGCGGGGGGAGGAAGGGAAAAGAACGAGGGCTGGGGGGACACATCGCCTGTGGGCAGAGTCCCCTCCTGCCAAGTGTTTCCTCTACGGGATGCACTGGCTGAGGCTGCTCCTTGCTCTGACCCCGATCTTCACTCCCATGTCCCTGCTGTGGTACCCGGGTCCCTTGGAGGATGCAAGCGGGGTTGCTAAGAGGGTGAGAACAGGGCCGGGAAGAGCAAAAGTAGATGCTCACCAGGTCAAGTTCCAGGAGGTCAGTCCTAGAGGAGAGACTGATGGACCAGGGAGCTGAGGGGGAGAAGCAGGAAGGGTGTAGCTGAGTATGGACCACACCGTGGAATATATTTTGAGGGAGTTGATGTATTTTGACGGGGTGGAGACTGCCCCCCAGAGCAGCAGTTCTCAGCCAGGGGTCACACGTTATGCTGGGGTGAGAGTCCCTGACAGAGTCACTTAGGCGATTTTTTTGCACAGCACTGCCTACCCCACCCCAGCATCAGATGAACGCCTTGTCCAGGGGAAATCCCCGTACTTCCTCTTCGCGGCCACGTGAGCTCTGCCATTTGTTAATGGAAGTGTGCTGTATCCCTCAGAGGAAAGAGCTCATCCAGGGGAGAGAAGAGTGGCTCAAGGGAACAGTCACTCACGAGGAATGAGGGCAGGACAGACAGGCCCAAGGGAGAGCACAGGTGGGTGGCTCTGTGTCAGAGCCCAGTTCACGTGCCTGCTGCCACTGCCCGGCTAGACCAAGCACTCTTTTTTTTTTTTTTTTTTTGGCTGTGTTGCGTCTTTGTTTCTGTGCGAGGGCTTTCTCTAGCTGTGGCTAGCGGGGGCCACTCTTCATCGCAGTGCGCGGACCTCTCACTGTCACGGCCTCTCTTGTTGCGGAGCAGGGGCTGCAGACGCCCAGGCTCAGCAGTTGTGGCTCACGGGCCCAGCCGCTCTGCGGCATGTGGGATCTTCCTGGACCGGGGCACGAACCCGTGTCCCCTGCATCGGCAGGCGGACTCTCAACCACTGTGCCACTGGGCGCCTCTCTCTTCCACTCCCATTTTGGGTGCTAGGGGACGGTCAAGGGCTAGATTCGCTGGTAGCCACTAGCCACAAGTGGCTATTTACATTTGAATGAATTAAAATTAAGTAAAATTAAGAATTCAGTTCCTCCAGTTGGTCATGCTAGCCCCATTTCAAATGTTCAGTGGCCACATGGGCTCGTGGCTACTGTATTGGGCAGCACAGAGAGAGAACATTTCCATCATGGCAGAAAGTTCTATGGACAGTGCTGGGCTGGGTCAGAAGCAGGGCAGGAGACAGAGAAAGGGAGAAACGAGCCAAGGGCTCCGGCGGTAGGGCTGCCTCTGTGAGGAGACCAGGGCAGTGCGGGAATGAGAGTCCAGGCCAGGGGAGCAGGGAGAGGGCTGGGTGGGCTTGGGGAAGAGGCAGAGAACCTGACCCGACTCCCAGGTCCCGCCTTCCAATACTGATACTCTTGGCAATACCAGTGAGCAATTAATTGGCTGGGGTGGGGTCAGGTTCCAAGCGGAGGGAGGGGAATGCGATGGAGGAGGAACCACCCCCTCTTAGCAGGTCTCAGGGCTCTGGTCCTCCCGTCCTGCCCTTCATCCTTCAGGGACCCAGGATTCTGCTGGCCCTCCTTGGTCCTACCGTGGATCCTACCCAGACCAAGCTGGCTGCTTCCTGTTGCTCATCCAGTCTGGGCAGTCAATTAATGGGCGGCAGGGCCACCACCTTCCCAATTAGTCTTATTAGCCTCTTGCTCACACACTGGAGCCAGGGCCACCCTTCGGGGAGGGGCTGTGAGTGGCCTGTGAGTAACCAAGGCCCAGCTATGACAGGGGTCCTCAGCCCAGGCCTGTCTCCGGGCTGAGGCCTTGGCGTCCAGCACCTGCGGGCCGTCCCTGGAGCCCCCTGGAAGGGACAGGTCAGGGAACTGGCTTTGGAGTGCAGACTCCAAAGGTCCGCTCGCTGATGACACACGTAATAGATGTGCGGCAAGCATGGTACTTGGGCAGTGACAGCAGGGCGTGGGGTGTAGATCCTTATACCTGGAGGAAGAGAGTGGAAGCTGAGTGAAGGGTCTCAGGGAAAGGGGGGCGTGGATCCAGAGGCTGTGGAGGGCTCCCAGGCGGGGTTAACCGTGAGGCGGGGGTGCGGGCCACAGCAGGTAGCCGGTACTGAAGGGAAAGTTGAAATGCCCACATCTGTGCGTGGAGGGAGGACGAGCAGTCAGAGAGGCCAACACTGGGGAAGGCAGGAGGGTGAAGGAGCCAGGGGACTGGGCCCCATGGTGAGGGTGGCCGCCTGGGAGTGAGCGGCCTTCGGGGCAGAGCACCTGGTTCCAGGTTAGGCAACGAGGAGCCCGGGCAGGCCAGCCAGGTGTTCCCAGGGCCATGATGCCCCACACTGCAGCCACCCCTGCTGCTGAGTAGGCAATACCCAAACAGTACTTCAGCTCCTCCCGGCCACACCAACTTCCCCCCCCCTCGCCCCCGGCACCTCCACCTCCACCTCTCCTCCCCTCCCCACAGTGACTCCTGCCCGGGAAATGTCCAGCCCTGACATAAAGGCCCCGGGTGTCCACGAGCTGCTGTCACTCAGGAGGCCACACAGTCCAAGATGGGCTCTGCGCGAGCATCCCGGATAGGGCTTGTGGGAGGGCGGGGGATGTTGGCATTGCTGCTGGCCAGTCTCCTCCTGCAAGGTAGGAGGCCGGGGGCCCTGGGCGCAGAGAGAGTGGGGAGAGGAGGGGGGCAGGACTGCAGATGCCAGGTCAGAGAAGGCTGGGGGGAGCCCTGCGTGGGGAGAGTCCAGGAGAGGACCCAGCGAGGGCGGAAGGGCAGGGGCTCTGGAATCTGATGCTTGAGTCTGGGGGCCGCTCCTCACTGCCTTGACACCTCAGGCAAACTGCTTAAATTTACTGAGCCTCCGTTTCTGAAACTCTAAAATGAGGCTAAAGTTAACACCTAGCTCTAGTTTCTCTCTGAGTCTCTAGGTAATGTGTGCCGCAGTGCCGTCGAACTCCTAGAGAGTTATCTCATGTTGGCTGTTGTTGTTATTATTATTATTCGAGTGCTAGAAGATGGAGTCGATATTTAATAGTCATAATAGTTGTCACCATTCATAGGGCCCTTTTTATGTGCGAGACACTCCACCAGCACTTTAACGCATTAGCTCGTTTGATCGTTAGAAGGATGGTGTGAGAGAAGCGTCCTCACGCTACACGGGAAGACACTGAGGCTTGAAGAGCTTAGGAAACCGGCTCAAGCTCACAAATTAGAAAGCAGTTAAGCCGGGATCCAAACCCCAGGCTGGTGACTCTGGGGCCTGTGCTGTTGATCACGGTGACCTTGCCCATGGCCCCGTGGCTGTGTGGCATCGGAGGAGCAGAGGAGGAGCGCGGGGTGGGGGTGGGGGGCTGGCTGATTAGTGCAGCAGAGTGAGGGGGGCGGGGCTGCGGGCAGAGCTGGGGTTTGGCGTGGAGGTGGATGCATTGAATTTCTTTCTGAGGAGAGAATGGGGAACTCACAGAGTGTGGAGACCTGGTTTTTGGTGGGGTGTTCAAAGGAGGAATGGCAGTAATAAATCATGTCTGATGCCTTCTGCTTTTGTAAAGCACCTTCTGCCTGCGTGGTCACATCTAGTGCTCACCGTAACGCTGTGAGGAAGGTAGGGCAGATCTGGCCTCTCCAAATGTACGACCTGAAGTACGTGGCTCTGTCCACACCACTTGGGACCAGAGGTGGTTAAGGTGGGGAGTAGAGGAAGGGTGGGGGGAGGGGGAGCCTGGGTGAGGAGCAAAGGGTTAGTTAAGGAAAGAAGTAGAGGCAGAAGCGGTCAGATGTGGGCCTGGGGGCAGGGAGGCACACGGTGCTGGCCAGCGGGGAGACAACTGATAAAGGTCAGGGGCCTCGGAGGAGGGCTGCATCCTCGTGTCCCTGAGCTGG